CGGCTGCCATGTGGCTATTTTGCCAGGATATGAGTTTATCAGTGGTGTCCGGCTTTTGTCCTGCTTGACCAATGTTAAAATCTGGTCACTTTACCCTACACACAGCAGAACGAAGCACAGCTCACGATCGTTCCTGCGCCTGAGCCCATTGATGCAGCCAGGCTGTCATTCCATCTCATCGAGGGCCTTCCTCTTTACTGAACATGATGTCCTTCTCCAGGGACTGGTCTCTCCTTACAACATGCCCAAAGGACGTAAGACGAAATGTTGCCATTCTTGCCTCTAAAGAGCACTCTGGCCTTACTTCTTCCAATACAGATCGGTTTGTCCTCTTATTAGTCCATGGTACTTTGAATATTCTTCAACACAATTTAAATGCATCTGTTCTTCTTCGATTTTCCTAATTCAATGTCCGACTTCCACATGCATATAATGCACTTGTCACCCAGAGTGGCCCCATATGACCGAGTACAACTGCCCCATAAACACACAAACACTGACCTGTAGTGCCCTATGAGACAGGAGAACTGCCTTATGTGATATTCTGAGACTAACTTTTTTTTAACCTTCCTTTTCTTTTTTTAATCATTTTACTGGGGGCTCGTACAACTCTTACCACAATCCATCCATCCATCCATGGGTCAAGCACATTTGTACATTTGGTGCCATCATCATTCTCAAAACATTTGCTTTCTACTTGAGCCCTTGATAATTTACAAATTATTTTAATTTTGTCATGTCTTACACTGTCTGACGTCTCCCTTCACCCACTTTTCTGTTGTCCATCCCTCAGGGAGGAGGTCACATGTAGATCCTTGTAATCTGTTCCCCCTTTTCTACCCTGCCCTCCCTCCACCCTCCCGGTATCACCACTCTCACCACTGGTCCTGAAGGGATTGTCTGTCCTGGATTCCCTGTGTTTCCAGTTCCTATATGTACCAGTGTACATCCTCTGGTCTAGCCAGATTTGTAAGGTAGAATTGGGATCATGATAGTGGGGGTGGGTAGGGAGTAAGCATTTGCGAAATAGAGGAAAGTTGTATACTTCATCGTTGCTACACTGCACTCCGACTGCCTTGTCTGCTCCCCGTGACCCTTCTGGAAGCGGATGTCCAGTTGCCTACAGATGGGCTTTGGGTCCCCAATCTGCACTCCCCCTCATTCACAATATGATTTTTTGTTCTTTGATGCCTGATACTGATCCCTTTGACACCTCATGATCACACAGGCTGGTGTGCTTCTTCCATGTGGGCTTTGTTGCTTCTGAGCTAGGTGGCCACTTGTTTATCGTCAAACCTTTAAGACCCCAGATGCTATATCTTTTGATAGCCGGGCACCATCAGCTTTCTTCACCACGTTTTCTTATGAACCCATTTGTCTTCAGCAATTGTGTCGGGAAGGTGAGCATTATGGAATGTCAATTTAATAGAACAAAGTATTCTTGCACTGAGGGAGTACTTGAGTGGAGACCCAGTGTCCATCTGCTACCTTAATACTAACCCTATAAATATATGCACGTAGATCTATTTCCCCATCATCCTATATAAATATATTTACATATGTACTTGCCTGTATTTAGACCTCTGTAAATGCCCTTGGCCTCCTAATTCTTTCCTCTATTTCCTTTTACTTACCGCTTGTCCCACTATCATGCTCAGCCTTCATTTGGGTTTTAGTAATTCCTCTTCATTACATTGCCATTGATCAATCCCTACCAGGCCTCTTACACCCTCCTTGCCACTGATTTTGGATCATTTGTTGTTCCCTTGTCCCTGGGTTTGTTAAGGCCACTTCCTTTCCCCCACCTCCCCATCTCCCACATCCCCCCAAAACCGTTGGTCCCCTTGTGAGACTCTTTACAGGAGTAGAAAACCCCGTCTTTCTCCCACGAAGTGCCTGCTGGTCTCTAATTGCTGACTTACAGTTAGCAGCCCAGTGTGTAACCTCTTTCCCACCAGGGCTCATAGCGTCGTGCTTCCATTTTATTTTATTTTTCATTCTTGTAAATTGGAAGAAGGTTTATAGAGCAGATCATGAGTTTTACACTCCATAGTTCATACACGTTGTTTCAACTCATCCATTGCAGTCTCCCCCTCTCCCACCCCGGGTTACCTAGGCTGGAGCCTTGCTGGGCTTGGGGCTTGTGAACCTTGAAAATCTCCGAGTCTTTCTCCCCTGGGGTTCTATTGGGTGCGTTCCAACTGCCAGTCTTTCAGTTGGCAGCCGAATGCGTAACTATTGTGTCACCAGGGCTCCTTGGTAGACCTGTACACATTTGCTAACCCCCTCCAAAGGTCTGTTCATGGGCTGGGCACAGAAGGAGATGGCAGACATAACCTTTGCCCTTCAGCTGACACTGGAATCTGATGATTGGAAACACATGAGCATGTGGTGGGGTGATGGGAAACATATGGGCCCACCACAACTCTAGGGATGGGAGAGGAGCAGCCCCCAAATGGGCAGACGCAGCCGCTGGAACCCCTAGCCCCTGGAGAGGAGGTCCTTTATCCAGGGATGCTGAGCAGCATTTGTTTTGGGGAAATCAAACGGCCCACGTAGGCTGCTTATCAAACACATGGAAGGAAACAATCTGGAGAGGAGGCGGGAGGGGGAAGAGGAGAAGCCTTTTTTCTTTTTTTTCCTGAATTCCATCCAAGTTACAGCCAAAGGAAGCCTGCCTAGAAAGGACCGAGTTTGTTTTTTAATTGTTTTATTAGGGGCTCATACAACTCTTATCACAATCCATACATACATTACATACATCAATTATGTAAAGCACATTTGTACATTCATTGCCCTCATCATTCTCAAAACATTTGCTCTCCACTTAAGCCCCTGGCATCAGCTCCTCATTTTGCCCCTCC